TTTTTTAATGGTAGAAATAAAAAGATGAAAAGTATTTGTAAATGCACAACACTATAAACTATTTTTTAGAATTATAAAAATTTGTTATAAATAAAAATATCAAAATATTATGAGAATGTGATTCAACCATATAATAAATTAACAACAATAAACAGGATTTTCAAAAAAGACACAACTATATGATTAATTAATAACTATAAAACCATTTTCTCGAATAGAGGCAACCGGATAAGATTCATTAATAACTACTAAAACATTTTTTTTTCGAAAAGATGCAACGTTAAAATACATTAATAACCATAAAATGGTTTATTCCTGAAAAAACACAACCATACAATGCATTATATTTATTAAAAAAAAACTAAAGATGCAACTTTATTATGTATTAATAACCATAAAATGCTTTTTACGAAAAGATGAAACCATATGAAACATAATAATAATAAAAATTTTTTGAAAAGATTTAATTTTACACAGATCAATTTTTCAAAAGACGCAATCCTATGATGCATTAATAACTATTAAACAAAAAATTTAAAAATATACAATCCTAAAATGAATTAATAACAACAAAACAAGAACTATTCAGAAATACAACCTTAGAATGCATTAATAACCATAAAACGAATTTTTAAAAAGAAGCAACCCTAAGAGACATTAATAACTAAAAATAATTTTTCGAAAAGACACAAACTTAAGAGACACTAATAACCATAATTTTTTTTGGGAAGACGAAATCTTAGCATTAATAACCTAGGATGTAAAATATCAAAAAGTTTTTCAAGAAGATACATCTTTACATAAACCAATTTTTTCCGAAAAGACGCGACCCTGGGATGCTTTAATAGCCATAAAACCAAATTTTTCGAAAAAACGCAAACCTTGGATGTATTAATAACCACAAACTGGTTTTTACTAAGAAGACGCAATCAAATCATGTATTAATAACTATAAATGGTTTCTTTAGAAAGGCACAGTTCTCAAGGACTAACCATAAAAAATCTAAAAGACGCAACGTTTAGAGATTAATAACCATAAAAATTTTTAAAAAGACGCAACCTAAAAGACATTAATAACCATAAAACTTTAAAAAAAAAATGTATAACCCGAAAAGACACTAATAACCATAAAACATTTTTTCTGGAAAGACACAACCCTAGTGTTAATAACCATAAACGGTTATTTTTAAAAAGAAACAATCCTAAAATATATTTTCCAGTATTGCTATTATTGATAGACGTTTCTAAAACTATTATTTAAATAAAAAAACAAAATATTGTAAGACTCTAAAAGAATTTTTGACGTTTTTTAATCACATTTAGGTCTGGGCACAAGCCGAGTACTTGCTAATTTTCAAGTACTTGTGACTCGGCTTGGCTTGTTCAAATAATTGAAATTCTGGCTTGATACTTGACTCGTTCGAAGCAAGTACTTGCTAAATCAAGTACTCGCCCAAAATCTTACTACTTGCAAGTAACTTGACTCGGCTTGTTACTTGCCAAAATTATATATTTGGCTCAGCTTGGCTTGTTACTTGCTACTTGAAAGTACTTATAAATATAACATTTAAAATTCTTACAAAACATTCAAAGTTCAAACATCCTAAAATCAAAGATAAGCATTTAAAAAAGAAGTTTTGGTTCAAT